ACACACACACACACACACACACACACACACACACACACACACAGATTGCTGCAGCTTCCCATTTCTTGACATTGATTGGATCAACATCACAATTGTTCAGCGATCTGCTCTTCTGCTGTGCCAGATGATTTCCTGCACTACTGAGGTATACAATCGGGAACCATGGGAAAATGTCTCAATAAGTTCCTTATCATTGTATCTATTCTCAGTAAGTATCTCCATCTTGGAAAAAGATTATTTTTCTTTTACAATGTGTTGCTAAAATAACAGTAACGATGACGATAATGTTGATATATATGAGGCTGATGCTGACTGTCGTTTCTTTCTTACTGCATTTTATGTTAGATTGGAGCCATCAGGATCCAGTGGAACAACCATTTGTTGAAATAACGGTTGAGGAGGCAAAGAGTGTCACACTAAATTGCATTTTGAATGTAAACACTTATGCATACTGGTACATTCAACGTCCCAGGCAGCCTCCACAGTTACCGTTTAGGCTTTTTGAGAGCAGTGTGTACAGAGACAACAGCATTAGTGATCCACTTTCTTCTATGCTTTATAAAACTGACAAGATCACCGAACTAACAATCAGCACAATTCCCTTCTCCGAAAGTGCCATGTATCACTGTGCCCTGCAACCTACACTGATGCAGACATATCGCGGATTCCCCACAAAAGCCTACCATGACAGCTTCCGTTAGTGCTCACCGGAGGGCGCCCTCACATCAACAAAAAGAATTCACTCTGAACAATGACACAACCGCAAAATTTGCTAAAAGTTTATGAAGCACATAACGCTAAAGAAGAGCAGTCGAGGTTCGCATGTATAATTAGTCTCTGTTAATTCTGTTCATACTACTAATTAGCTTTCTAAATCGTCTTATGATATTTGTTGCTTTTCGATTCCGATCCCTCTCTAGTTGAAAGCTATCAATCCTCTCTCCACGCTACGCACAAAATTGTAAAAACTTCCTTCGCACAGAACTAATATGACTTCACACTAAGCAGTTTCACCTCAGTGAAAATCTATCCTCCCCTGGCAGTGGGTACCGAGTTTTTTCGTAGTGAATAGTCTCGAGCTTCCTGGTTGTTGCTGGATCTGCATACTTCCAGGTAAATGGAGAGTATTCTAATACATTTCTGAGCTCTGTCCTGCAGACGGTGACAGGCTTCAGGGAGACAAGAAGTGAGTTACTTGCTAATTCCTATGTTCTGGACTGCTGGTATAATCACAATTATGTGGCTGCTCCAGTGTCTGCGGAAAGGAAACCCCCGGGATGTTGAAAGTGCTGTTTCAGCGAGGCAGTGGTATTGCAATTCAGCGATAATAGTTGGACTGTCTTTTGTTGAAGACGGTAATGTAAACGTTGCTTTAAACTATTCGAGGCAGGTTTGAATGCTATTCAGGTCTTGCTGCATTTGCACACAAAATCTGCTAAATATTGTACAACCATCATCAAACAGGCGGACTTCTTAGAACCCAGGTCATAACAATACAGTCAGCTCCCAAGTAAGGCTCCAAGCTCTCGAAGGCTCACAGGGTCTGAGAGCGGGGCCTCTTTGCCGACATGAGCCCAGTCAAGAAGCAACACTGAGGTCAGTACTTTCAGTCCCTAGCCAAAGTGGGAGAGAGTCTCATTGATGAAGTCGGTGAAAATAATGGGTTCTTAGCACTTGTTCGAGTAACTCCTGCAAAGACGTCCTCGGGCTGAGATGACTGACCTCCAACAAACACTAGCTATTTCATCTGTCCTAGGTAAAACTTCAAACATCTGAGAGCTTAACCGATTTTATTTGACACATTATACAAGGTGAAGTTTCACTAACAAAGATATATCCTGTAATGCCAGCTGTCAGCTGCGACACAGTTAAAATGACAGTTCTGTAAATTGTCGTCACAGAAAATGTGCTGCAGTACTATCCAGTGCGATGCAGTCTTTTAAACATTGACTTTAAGTTTCTTCACAAATATTGCGGAATGATTTTGGCTGGATTATTTTTCCATCAAATAATTCTCACTGTTATTGCATTGATTGTGTTGTTACCACGACTGATGTAATTAAAAGATGAAGTTTTGCTTTATGTATAAATTCTGAGATCACTTGTCTCCGTTCTCTGGTGGCTATGTTACTGACATAATATGTACTCATTTACACTGATCAGATAGATTTCACATTCATAATTCCAGCCTGGATTCCGCAAATCACGAGTAGTGCATATTTTGCTGCTTGTGCTTGTGTTCCTCAGCAATGTTACTTTTACAAACATTAATCATCAACTGATTATCGAACACAAAGAAAACAGGCTAGGCACTGAGAAAATGTTCCATTACAATTACGTATCAGACGCCGTCAGGTGCACCAGAGGAATGATACGAAATAAATCTCCATCCACAACCACCCTTTCCCAAAGTAAAAATGCACCAATTAAGAACAGAATACATTCTCCTGTACTGTTCCATAGAATTTCCATAGAATCCCTACAGTATGGAAACAGGACCTTCGGTCCAATAAGTCCAACCCTCAGAGCGTCCCACCCAGACCAATCCCCCATAACCCACATAAACTACACATCCCTGAACACATTGGGCAATTTAGCATCGCCAATCCACCTAGGCAGCACATCTTTGGATTGTGGGAGGAAACCGGAGCACCCAGAGGAAACCTACGCAGACAAGGGGAGAATGTGCACATTCCACACAGACAGTCGCCCAAGGTGGAATCGAACCCGGGTTCCTGGCGCTGGCAGCAGTGCTAATCACTGAGCCACCGTACTTGCCTCCTGTTCCATCGAAAATGTCATGTCATGGAATATACAGCAGGAAGCAGCTACATGATAAATTTCCTCTCGACTGAGGCTGAGTCTGGACAAAATGTACAGAGAATGAAACTGAACGCAAGTATGGTCCAAGTGGGCTTTCTCTCCTTCTGACTAATCCCTGCGGTGTTGGAAATGTGCCATTTCGCGGTTAATTCAAACCAAGATAGAATTGAGACATTTCCACACCCAGTGGCAAAACGACAGCAACATTGTGTAATGACTGACATGAAACACGAAACAACCTGAGCGGATTTGACACTGCAGATTTTGCGAAGATGTTTCCACTTCTTGGAGAATCTGAAACTTTGGGACAAGTTTCAAGACATCACCAATCTCAGGGACCTCAGGTCACTGACCTGAGAGACGTCGTACCGAGTCCTGAATCCGACAGTGATTGGTTAACTGGTAAGATCAGAAGTGAGAAATCAACCAATCACATCACGGTGGAACGTCCCTCAATTGCCCAATAACTGAGGGCTGTCCGTGGTCTGAGCTCAATCTTTCATATAAGACTAAAACTGTCGGGGTCATTTGGTGTTCTGGTGTTGTCCATACCTCATAGCCAGAAGGCCCTGGGTTTAAGTCCCGTACAACAGGTGTGTCATAAGATTTCTGAACAGATTAATCAGAAAATGTTAAAACAAAGTTCCAATTTTTTTTTTTTTTTTTAGTTTGATCAGATGGAAACTGATGTCATGTGTTCCCTGAGAACATTACTGATAATCATGATTCTTCTGCATGGTGAGTCTGAACTAAAACCATCACTAAGTATTCTTTCGGTTACATTTACTCACATACTTGTAACAACTTTCCCGTATTTGTTACAGGAACGAGTAGTCAAGATTCAGTTTCCCAGAGCCCACCTCAATTATCGGTTGAGGAAGAACAAACGGTAATGTTGAACTGTAGTTACAACTCGTCGGGTGGTGCTACTCTCTTCTGGTACGTCCAATATCCCGGGGAAGCTCCGAGATATTTACTGAAGAGGTACAAGGATGAAGAGGGGGATAGCTCACCAGATTTCCGTAACCGGTTTTCTGCCAATTTGGACAAAGTCAAAAAAGTGGTCCCTTTGAGAATTAATGAAACCCGTCTGTCTGACTCAGCCATCTATCACTGTGCACTGAGCTCCACACTGATACAGAGACCCAGTCAGCCCGTACAAAAACCGAAAAGACATTCTCACCTCCCTTCTCTGTATCAGATCTGTAACTTTTACTATGAATTGTTAATATGATCAAAATCACAGTACAAAGAGCACATCACCTTTTGGAACTCTTTCGATGGTGCAGAATGCAGGACATTCAACATAAACTGCCTGCTTAAAGCAGCTGCGAGTTTTATTCATGGTCAGCGAGCAACTCGTTTCATAGAAAGTTCTGGTAGTGGTACCATAACAGTTTACCATTACCCATAAGTAACTGAAATCAAAGATTAGCTGCATTGAAAGAAAACACATGATAGACACTTTTATTTTGCACAGAGGTTTCGTGTGTGGAATGAATTGCCAGATGAAGTGATCGATACGGGTACAGTAACAACGTTTAAAAGACATTTGGTTAAATACATGATCTTAAAAAAAAAGGTTAAGAGGGATATCGGCCCAGCACATGCAGGTGGGATTAGTTTAGTTTCGGATTACGATCGACATAGACTGGTTGAACCGAAGGTCTGTTTTCGTGCTATATGACTCGATTACTCGAATTGAAGAAAATAGCAGTTTCGTTATTATTAACTACCCCAAAGAGTCTTCGTTGTTCAGTCAAGTTCATTTCATACCAATATTGATAGATCAATGGATGCTAAAGGTAATAATTATGGAAAAAATGGAAAGCTTGTGAGAAATATACGAACTTCACTGAGTGGAACGGCAAGTTCGGTGGACTAAATTACCTTCTCCAGCTCTTGTTTTCAATGTTGTTTTGACAATAGATCTGACGTAGTGGACTGGAGAACAAAGCAACTGTTGATTGGAGGTACATTTGCGAATCTGTCAGAAATAATCCAATTGGCAGCGAGACGGGATATGACTCAACATCAGCTCTGAGATGAAACAATTCAGCTTCATCTCCCTCTGTGCAACTCTGCCATCAGTTCTGCACACATGTCAACCCTTATTAGTTACTCATTCCTCACTGCTGCAGCCGTTTTAACTGGTAAGTTCTCAAGTTGAAAAATGCTCACCTTTCATCGATACTCACTTTAACTGCATTTCTCTCTATTTTCAACAAATTCCCTGACCTTGATCGTATTGATTAGAATAAAACGAGGATGCAAGCCTTAATATCCGTTTCTTTCTGTTTTTATGTAGATGTTAAGCGTGCAGACTCGGTCTCACAGGAGCAGACTATTGTGATACAGTTTGAAGGAGATTCGGTGACCATTAATCTCAGCTATTCTGCCAGAGCTGACAAGTATTGCTTACAATTGTATCGTCAAGACATCGGTAAATCCCCTACATTCCTTATCTACATCCATACCTACGGCGATGTTTTCAGGCCAAAATGGCGTTGGCATTAGGTTTTCTGCATTTCTGGACATTTCGAAAACTGAGGAGAATTTCACCATTGGTGAGCTGCGGCTGTCTGACTGCAGTCCACTACTGCGGGCGGAGAAACACTTTAGAGACAAAAACCAAAATGAACCTTGTATTAAAACATTGTTGCAACGGTCGGAAAGTGAGAAAACTCAGGACAAACTTCGATTTTATGAATATTACCAAAATGTACTGAATTCATATCAATCCAGATCGTTGGTAAACCAGGAGCCACAGATGCAACATTGGGGAAAGTGACTTCTGATCCCTTAAGATAGCATACATGCTGAATACAAATTGAAAGGGGTGATTAGAGAATGTGTTCCATTTTGTAAATTAGATGTATTAGGACAGCAATTCTACCCGAATTATCTGGCATGGTTATTCAGCCGTTCACAACGGCACACTAAACAAAGTTCTGTTGGCTGTACGAATGATGTATGATGAAGATTGATGCCAAAACCACTGGTTAAATTCCACACCGGCTAAAGCCACAATGAAGGTCTGGCTTTCTCAACTTCTCCCGTAACCTGAGGCATGGTGACCCCCAGGTGAAAAACCACTAGTAGTCTCTCGAAGGAGAGAAGAGCCCTGTGGTTCTCCAGGACTGTGCTGACTACTTTATTTACATAAGAGTTAAATGGAGAAGCAGGTGAAAAGTATCATGGAATGCTCCGGACAAGGAGAACAAAGAGTTTGCTTTTATATGGAGTTGTATTTAATGGTTTCAGATTACTCAAAGTGTTTCTATTATTTTGTCGCAAACATGATCATACAGTTTTCACTTTCGAATTTCTGTACAGTGTGGCTATTTGATAATCTGTTTTGGTACCCTGAACACACCACAAATATCCCAATTCAATGTTTTTTTTTTCTATTCCTCCGTGGTCACCAGTCCCTTATCCTGCTTTTGAGTATCCCCTTTCCCCCCTTTAGATCATGAATCTTTACTTCTTGATGTGTGCAAGTGCCCTTATCATTGAACGGTATTCAATCAGATTATTTTAATTATGCGGATATTACTCAACTGGCGAGCTGCTCAATACTGATATTTCAAAGCAAAACATATTTACAACTTTGCTCTGAATTTAATTTCAAAACAACGATAAATGGTATGGCTGCTTCTAGAACAGCTGCGGAAATTCTTAGAAATTCCCAAAAAACGCAGTCATTTCCTCCCTCAGACAGTTAATACAATCATCAAAATCAGTGTAAGATGTGAACGATTTCACATGTTGTTGTTTTGGATTGTGCTTGGTCTTTGCACGCACAGCTAAGTATCTGACCTGCTGTTACAAAGACGTCCGAACGGACAGCAGCTGTGACACAGAAACTTGCAGCAGTTATTGCAGAAGGTTTTTATTTTCTCTCTCTCATTTACATCTTTATGAGGCTAAATTGGACAGTAATAGATCGCGGTATCAGACAGCTGCAACTCTGAGGTAGTCAATTGGTACAACTTGTCTGATTGCTGGACTGTGTCAGAAAACCTGGTCTGAGTGAAATATGCTTTAAATGCGTCTCCGTCACTTGTGTTCCTCCGGAGTATGAACTCCGGCTGTCTTCCTGGATATTGATATGATAAGTAATAGCGTTGGCAGTTTAGATGCATTTTAAAGCGACGTCTTTTCCCTCTGCCTGTGTGAGCAAGGAATCCCACAGTGTAAAGAGTTTCCATTGCTCAGATCTGAAATGTGTGGTTGAAAAAAATAGATTAAATATTGAATTGATGGTGAGAGTTCACAGTCACCCATCCAGAAAACAAAAAAAAAAAAAAAGGTACGAATTGGAGCACAAAGAAAATTGCTTTTGGCCACCAGGCCCATTTGTGTGTGTGTAAGCATTCCCCACTTCCTGTCATACTAACAGCAAATCCTTCCATCCATTTCGTTCTCATGGGTATATCGAGATTACGTTTCAACGTCTCTTTGCAGTTCTCCTTAACTCCTCCTTGGGCTGCTGAAACCACATTTGACGAAAACTCTGGCTGAAGATGTTTCTTCTGAATTCCTTATTTGATCTATTCGGGAACAAAAATCTGTAACCTTCTTAAGGGAAACATCCTCTCTAGGTCTACCTCGTCATTCTTTTTATCATTTTAAAGATATAAACCAGATAACACATTTGTTTTCTCATCAGCAGAAAAAAAGAATGGGGCACAAACATGGATTCCGAGTTGATGTTATTTTCAATGCTGGTTGATCGCTGGAAAAAGCTTTTTGATTCTGTTCGGTGTCATAATACTCCTTCTGTAAGAAACTGCTCACAATATCTCAAGTATATCCCAAAAACAGGCCAAATCCACGTTTAACGCGAATACTTTGATTTTGTTTCAAATTTATTCACCAAGAAAGTAAATCCGAAGTAAAATATTAAACTTCTTACCGACAATGAAGTTCACGTATATCAGAGTGGGAATGAAGAGTTGCATCACTCCGGGATTCGAGAGGCCTTTATGTACCTTGGTAACCGGTAGACCATTGAGCAACAAAAAACTGCAAGAATTGGCTGACGTTCTTTTGATGTCACCTCCTGAAGAAAATAAAATAGAATGAGCTCAGATCATTGCACCAGATTGGTCTGATGCCAGTTCGGTAACCACAAAGCCTGTGTTTATTATGGAGAACTGCAATATTGCGAACACATTCTACTGACCAGAGAGAAAGCCTAGTAAATATAGACAGATTGTTTCTATCTGAGTTGAAAAACAATAAGATCTCTAACTGAGATACAGCTAGGTAACCAACTGACCTGAGCAACAGTTCACTCTCTAATTGACATTAAAGACGTTGGATCTCCAGTTAATGAGAGAGCCAGGTTGCTCTCTACTTACTTGACAGACATATTGTTCCTTTATTGAACTGATAGATGGTTTGATGTCTTATTGTCAAAACTGTTTTTACTTGTAGGAATTTCGATAGTCCAAGAAACAAAATAAAATGAATTGAGCGGGAAAAATAAAACAGCTTGTTTTATGCTTTGGATCTTATTATACTCTATAAATCTCAATTTCGGAGGACAATGGAAGTACAATCAGTGTTAACTTTCAGAAAAGTATTAAAAATGTTCATATAATGGCATGATATCTGCACAGTTACAGAATGTGGAAAAATGCTATGTGAATGGAACTAATTACTCCACTCTTTCAGTGAGCAGGCACAAATAAAATGTTACAATGGCCTCAATCTCTATTACATGTGTCTATGATTCTTGATTATTTATTCCCTCTCCAACTATTTGCTCCTCAGTGACTCTGTTACTAAGGGAACACGTTGGCCACAGGTGTCTCAAAATCCAATAGCCCCGGATATAGCTGAACGGCGCCACAAACTTTCTGTTCTCATACATAGCAGCAATTTCATTCAGGGCCATGCCTGTTGCAGTCTTGCATTCAGTTCCGTTTGTTGCTTTGACTCCGGCCCAATATCTCTGCTCTGTGTTACTTGAGAGATTGTTGCAACGATCACTGTTTCTTATTGAGTGGAGCCATGATGTGCCAGTGTTGGACTGAGGTAGACAAGGTCATAAAATGCACGACACCAGGTTACAGTCCAAGTGGCTTATTTGAAATCACAAGCGTTCTAAGCGCTGCTCCTTCATCAGTTGAAGCGAAGAGAAGTACACAGGCACAGAGTAATCAAAATATTGTACGAAAGGTGAGTGGAGTGTTGACAGACTGAATAAGTCTCTGCAGGTGATAAAAAAAAAGTGTCAGTAGGTGTGAGTAAAGTGTCAACAGCTGAAAACAAGTGAAGGGATAAATTATAATCCGATTAATTAAAACAGAAAGTTAACTTCAAAATAATTTAAAATTAGGTGGTGCTGAAGACTAATGAAATGACTGGAATAACATGATAGGTATAAAGGTCGCATGTCGAGGGTCTAACCGAAGTAACAAGTAATCTAAAACTGTGAAAATTAATTAAGATAAATAGATCATAACAAGTTATCAAGGTGATGGTGTCAGAACAGAGCAGTAAGGAAGATTTCACAGATACAGAACAGTATGGTGCGGTTACATGAAGAGTGGCATGAACACAAACTCGCGGTTGAGGCTGTCTTCACTCGTACAAAACTTTGCATCTGTTTCTGCTAAGCAATTCTGCGTTGTTGTGTACATCAAAAGCGACCTTGGATGAAGCTTACTAGAAGATCAGACGCTAATAGTCCATGACCATTGAAGAATCCCCTGACTGGTGGATGGGGGTGGGGGGACATTCGGTCTGTTGATTGCTGTGCAGTGTCCATTCATCTGTTGGCATAGTGTCTGCATGCTGTTGCCAATATACCATTCCTCAGGGCATCCTTGCCTGCAGAGTATGTCTTATTAGACAACATTGACCAAGTCACATGAGTATCTGCCGTGTATGTGATGGCTGCTGTTGCCATGTGTGATAGCCGAATCCATTTCCACTATCTGTGAAATAATTTTGAAAAATGGAGACAGAACTTTATTTGTCGCCATTTCTTCTGTAAGACTGAACCATTTGTCCTAAAAGCCTAAAAGCCAGATCGGTGAGTTTCTATTCACTGACAGACAGTTCACTCCCTCCCAATTTCATAGCACCACTGGTGACACAAGGCAGTGAGGTGACAGCAGCCTGTGACAAGGCAGCAGATTAAAATATCCACCTT